CAGAACAGACATTAACTACTGCTTTATAACCACAGTTTCTTATCTCTGCATTCTTCCTCACCAAAATTAAGATCAGAACCTCCCCAAGTGAAGGAAGCAGACCCACCCAGTTGAGGTACAATTACAGAGCAACATTCACTTATTTTAAGATTGAAGTGTAAATACCCACTTGAACTAGGTACAGCAAAATTTGGGTACCACTGTAGCCAAATCTGCAGTCCCCTTATTAGCAACATTAGTATCTGTTTTTGTTAAACATTCACACCACATACTGAAGACCGATTCAAAGCAGCCTTGTTTAGAAAGTATGACTTTTCTGTTATTGCTACGTGCGCAATTTGACACTAATATTTTTGCTATGGCTTACTAAAGCCATAGGAAAAATTTAAAATGGAGATCAAGGTAAAACTAATGGATCATAGAAGCATGAGAAAGCTTCTATTCAGACTGCAAAAAAAAACTTTACAAAAATCAATGCTCGTTAGCAATGCACTCCACTGGTTCCCTTGCTGGCTGTCAGCTGAGACCATTTCACTTCAGCTAGAATTAAAAAGCCACTATCTAGCATCTACAGATGAGTGCTTTACCCAGCGATTAGGCTTTAAAGAAAGGACCTTGCAGCTTACATAAGAGTATCTTAAACTGAATGCAATTCATCGCTAAAGGTACCACTCTTTTCCATGCAGGTTTATGAAGAAAATTCAACAAAAATCATTATAGTAGAATGGTATTATAAGATACTAGCTGTACCCATTACAGCTTTGTTTGCAACCAAAGGATCCAGTATGGAATGCAGATTGACATGCAGACAGACATTTCGTCTTTATCTATACTCAGCTGGGAGGACTCCTTGCAGGGGGACACCAATCAAAGCTATGCTAACCGAAGGGGCTTACTGTGTGATCCGGAAGGACCTCGAGTTATTGCAAGGCTTCTGCATAGATGACATTTGCAGTTTTTCCTCCTTTGGGCATGACGTACATGTTTTGAGATGAACCCACCTGAGCATCCAACACAGAATTGTCCATGGAAAAAGAAAGGTGTATTCAACCTTTAAGCTCTGCCTCTGTGCCTTGTTAATTGACATGGCAAAGCGCATTCGAACAGGGTATTGGATCCTTTTGAACGCAAAGGTATCTTGGGAGCTGTGGGATGCGAGAAATGAATACATCTTCCCCTTTGAACTGACCAGGCAGAATAGTTGCTTCTATAACAGGTGGCATCAACTGTTTTACTACCAACATTGTGCCATTACATTGCTTTGGTGCATCTAAATCAAACTCATCCTATCCCTGAAACCCACCACCTGCTCCCTTGACCCCATCCCCACTCCACATCTCCCAGCTCCACCTCCTTGCCCCACATATCACAGACATCGTCAACCTATCCCTCTCCTCTGGCTCTGTTCCCATTCCCTTAAAAACTGCCACCATCACTCCCACCTTGAAAAAACCCTCCCTTGATGCGTCGCAGCTATCAAGCTACCGGCCCATCTCCAACCTCCCCTTCCTGTCCAAGGTCCTTGAAAGGGTTGTCGCCTCCCAGCTGCGCTCTTTCCTCTCCACCCATTCATTATTTAAACCCCTTCAGTCGGGTTTCCGTGCTGCCCATAGCACAGAAACTGCCCTGGTCAAGGTCACCAATGACATCCTGACCATCTGCGACCAGGGCTCCCTCTGCCTCCTCGTCCTCCTCGACCTATCGGCAGCATTCGTTACGGTCGACCACGCTATCCTCCTCCACCGCTTGTCCTCCCACCGCAACCTTCAAGGCCCTGTCCTTGAGTGGTTTAGGTCGTACCTCTCCCACCGTCTTCACTTTGTTTCCACTAACGGTTTTTCCTCCGGCCCCCGCACTGTCTCGTGCGGTGTCCCTCAGGGCTCTGTCCTCGGTCCCCTCCTCTTCACCCTCTATATGCTCCCCCTGTGGTGACATCATCCGCAGACATGGGGTTAACTTCCACTTGTATGCGGATGACACCCAACTCTACCTTTCCTCCTCTACTCTCAACTCCACGACCACCGATGTCCTGACAGCCTGCCTGTCTGACATTGAGTCCTGGACGAGACAACTTTCTTCAGCTCAACGTGCGTAAAACTGAGGCCCTCCTGATTGGCTCACGTCAGCGCCTCCGCACCTCAGGCGCTGACAGCATCAGCATCCAAGGCTGCACTCTCCACCTCTCAAAGCCAGTCAGGAACCTCGGGTTCTGTTCGACCCTGAGCTGTCCTTTCTCCCTCATATCCGCGCCACAACTGGCACTGCCTTCCATCACCTCCGGAATGTCGCCAGACTACGGCACTACCTCACCCCTCACGCTGCTGAAACTCTGGTCCACGCCTTTATCACCTCAAGGCTGGACTATGGGAACTCTCTCCTCGCCGGCCTTCCCGGCACCTCCCTCCACAAGCTGCAGGTCATTCAGAACTCTGCAGCTCGTGTACTGTCCCGCACCAGGCTTCGGGACCACATCACTCCCACCCTCGCTCGCCTCCACTGGCTCCCCACCCCCAGAGGATCGAATTCAAGATCCTCATCCTCACCTACAAGGCCATTCAGGGCCTTGCTCCCTCCTACCTCTCCGACCTACTATCCCCCTACGTACCTGTCCGTACCCTCCGTTCCTCTGGCTCCGGTCTACTCCACATCCCTCCGCCCTAACATCGGTGACCAGGCCTTCAGCCTCTCAGCCCCGAGGCTCTGGAACTCTATACCCCAGTGCCTTCGCCGCCTCCTCCCTTTCCTCCTTCAAGGCCGGTCTCAAGACCTTTCTCTTTGACCGTGCCTTCAGCTCCCCTCTCGACTCTCTACCCCCTCCTCGCTCCCTCCCTTCCCTCCCCTCACCATTTCCCCCCTACTCGGGTCCTGACCCAACTGTACAGCGCCTTGAGATGTTCTCCCGACGTGAAAGGCGCTCTATAAATGGAATCTTGTTGTTGTTGTTGTAAATTTCTCAGCGGGATGGTTATGCATCCAACCTTTAATATGAGTTTGTGTGGAGAGTTTGGGAGGACTCCTAGGAAAGCTACGCTAACTGAAAGCATTTACACAATGTTCCGCTTACCATGTTCTTCACCCACAATTTGGATGGCTACTTTATCACAATCTGGATGGCTACTTCATCAGCAGTTGGTGCACTGTACCCGTCGCTCATGATGGCCAGAAGGTGTCTTGTCTGCAAGGATGATTATTCTATATTCTTCTGCAGTCATTCTTTCCATTGCGGACTTGAAGCTCCTGACGTACTTGTTACTGTTGTGAAGCATGTCTTGCAGATTTAGTATGACGGCTTTGCTCAACCCCAGAACATTGCTTGCACACTGCATGGCTTGTTCTTCTCGGTTCGTCATGAAGTAGATCTGTAAGAATTTTGGCGACTCATTAGGCAAAGTGGTTAGAGATCCCGATAAGTGATACACTTGGTTTTACACTTTAAATGTTGGCATATAGCCTGGCTCTTTAATTTCTCTAGTTGTTCTAAAAGAAGTCATCTGGAAGCACAAATTGGATTTCCTAATGTTTGCTAGAAAATGCTTAGTCACTCGATGTGCCATCCTGCAGATGTCTCAGGGGTTCAGATGGCTCTGTGAGTCTCTCTGGTTTCACCTTGCCAAGTGAGCAACACATGGAAGGAACTTCTTTAGCCCATTTCATGGCTCCACAGTGGGCACATAAGTTCGACATATTCCTAATATGATGAGCGCCATCTGATTCGTAGTCTCTGTCTGGATCATAGTTGAGCGCAACTAAACGGAGTGACTTCTGCCGCTGGGCATAATTTTGCCATGTTCTTGCATGCCTTTATGCGTCCAAGTCCAGCTGTGCTGTTCTTTGAGCGGGTAATTCATTTTGCTGTGTTCTTGCAGTTGTTTCAGCATTCAAGACCAGCCTTGCTGTTCTTTGAATGGGCAACTCATTTTGCCTTGCTCGTGCAGTCCTTTCAGCATTGACCAGCTGTGCTGTCCTTTGTTCTTCAGTTTCATTTAATCGGCCTTCTATCTTTTGTCTTGCATTTTTACGGGTCCTTGAAAGGCTTGATCTTCGCTTCTTAGGCATCTTCACTTAAGATTAAGAAAATGTGCTATTGGGAGGACTCCTGTGGGAGTATCTCTTTAGAAGGGTGTGTGCTTTCCTGTCGCTACTTTATTGCAGAATGCCATGCATATCTCATATTTTGGGGCTTAATTAAAGCATTTTTAAAATATAGCTAATTAACGATAAGAGATCCCCGAAAAAAATGCCCATGATACTCCTGCTTGCAAGTCCATTCCGATGAGGTTTAAATCATGTCTTTATGTCAATGTGATACTGGCGATCTCACAGACACACACACACACATTTCATCTTTATTAGTATAGATTATGGTATTTAGTCTGGAAATAGCAGAAAATGATTGCACGTGTGGAAAAAGCTCACTTATACATCATGTTGATCAGAAGCGCACCAGTGTAAATATTCTCCTTGTGCAAATTAATACTGAAAATATTTCCCATTGCACTCCTTTGTAGACATTAGCAACTCACATAAGCAATTACATGAGATATTTGATAATTTCATGAGATATTTATTGTTAAAGGTACTACCATATATAGTGAATTTACAGTGGCTCTGCTGTACTGAAATGCAAGAGAAACTCCAATGTATTATCATAATTTATACAGGAATTATAAATTTAACAACAACAACAAGATTCCATTTATAGAGCGCCTTTCACGTCAGGAGGACGTCCCAAGGCGCTGAATAATAATCCTTGCATTTGATATAGCGCTTTTCAAGTCGGGAGGACGTCCCAAAGCGCTTCACAGAAGACACTGTGAAGACAGAAGTCACCGCGAACGCGGCAGCCAATTGCGCACAGCAATGTCCCACAAACAGTCGTAGATTGAAAATGACCAATTTATTATTGTTTTTGGTTTTGGAGGGATTATTATTGGGCGTGTGGAGTAAGCAAATTTGCCCAAGGTTTCGCCCTGCCTGGAATTGAACTCGGGTCTCTCGCTTGCAAAGCGAGTGCTCTAACCACTGAGCTACAGGACTCCAGGACCAAACTTCCACCTAGTTTAAGGACCAAACGTCCACCTAGTTGTACCCTATAAAACCTTTTCATCTTAATATTTTAAGTTTTACAGAATTGCAGAAAATTCTTAAAATTCAACCCTAATTTAGAGGGCGTTTCTCTTCAATTGTGAAAAAAGCTTTACGAATTAAGAATCGATTTACGATTTTTCTAAACTTCTACATGATCCTAATTTATAAGACAAAATTGTTTTGTATGGCGAGGTTAAAATAAAAAATTTTTAAAATCACCCAGTGGCTGACAAGGTATGCTACTGAACCACATTACAGGTTCAAGTTCAAAATTGGACTGCAGTTTCATTGTAGACTCACATTGGTTTATTCTGTAAAACTCGCCTAAGTTGTACATTCCCCCGAGTCCCATTCAGAATCACTTAAAGATTTCTTTGCATTACTCGTATTAATCACCTTCTAACTCGTAACACCATTCTCCTACCCTCCATTGCTCTGGCACATACCGGCTCCATTGAATAGCAAGAAATGATGTCCTGACCTGTTGAGACATGTGCACTTACTAGCCGGCAGCATGTGGGAAACGTATTCTTGATCTGTCGACACTTGCTTAGAAGAACTTAATTTCCCACGATTCACTGTGATTCCAATGCTTGCTGGTAAGTGCACACATGGCGACAGGTCACCACATACTGAATTGCGGGAAATGTAGTCTTTACCTGTCACTGCATGTGTACTTACCGCTGCAGTGACGAACCACCGCATGAGCAGTCACCAGCTACATTGAATTACACATGTGCAATATGGATTATTGATGAAATTGGATTTTATACTTCTTGTACAATTTGCCTGCAACTCAAGAGTTTGAGTAAGTCGTATTCAATGTTGGTACTGCATATGCATGGATTTTAGGTGAAGACTGAAAGGTGCTCAGCTATGAATCACCCCCACCCTACAAATAGTTGATCATAATGGTCAACGCTGTGTGAGACCATGTAGAAACTGTACAAAGCTTAATGCATTTGAACTCTAACAATTTTGTAGAGATCATATTGGTTACTATTGATGCTATTATTAATAGTTAAGGCAATTAAAATATCACACCTAAAAAAACTAAAAAAGTGATAATGTTGCTTTAAAGATACTGGCAAGCAATATTTACTCACACACACAAAGTATGTTCTGAATTTAAAACTCTAAATCAATACATTACAAAGTCCAAATGATTTCTATAAGAATGTTCATGCATTTTTACATCTACCTTCATTCAGTGAATAAACAGAAAAACATATCAACCAGTCACCATGAACTCATTCAAGCTCCAAATTCACTGCTTTGATCCTGCAACATTTAGCACTGAAATAATCAGACAGTCCTAAGAAATTCATCAAAATTATGAGCTTAGTGGGAAAGAGAATACAAACTGGTTTAGCTTGTGTGGACAGAGTAAGAGGATCAGCTCTGAGTGAAGAGGACACTGTGCCTGCCTCTGAACCATTTGCCTTATTGAAGTGCCATTTCTTAGACGGTTTATTTTCCTTTAAGCAAGAGCCAAAACTATTTTGCACATTATTTCTTCCAAAATTCAGATCTGAAAATAAAGACAAAGGAGCCATTGTGGATGGCTGATTATTAAGATGACCACTTCTGTCACATTTTCCACTATATATTTTCCTTTAGCCCCCTTCTGGTTCAGGTTGCAGGGGGAACATGAATACATCAAGCAAATGACATCTTCACAAACTGTCCACTACGTCCTTGCATAAGTTAAGTCATGATTTTACTTGCTCTTTGATTCTCAGCACTTGGCTACCTGCAGTTTCAGAACTTTTCGACTGCGCCTTCGGCCACCTCCCACGCCTACCCTCTCTGCCATCCGCCCCTCCTGATCCCAATCCCCTGCTCAGGTCCAAATCCCTGCCTCGGGTTGACCTCCCAACATGAAAGGCGCCAGGAAAATTTAATTTATTGTTGTTGAAACAACTGCTTGAAGTGGTAGTGAAATGAGGTCCAACAAGTAAATAAGCCTTATTTTCCATATTGGTCTAGGTCATACAGGAAAGATGTCATTTCCTGTTTGATGCACATGCTGCACTCAGGAAGTGCTATTTACACAATGTCCAGTGCACCTCACATGCTTTCTATATGTAGGAAACACCACTGATATCACTTCGCAAAGGAAGTTATGTCGGTGGTGCTTGTGCATAGAATGCGTTAACAACATGCAGGAAGTGCAGTTATTGGTGACCAGCCATCCCTGAAGTCGGCCTTTGTTTGTGATTTGTTTAACATGGGATGAGCTTGTCATCCCAGACCACTGCATTATTACTGCGTCTTATATGGCCATGTTGCAAATATCCACGTTACTGCTGTCAGACTTGAGTTTCAAAACCTTGTTCTAAATTTCAATAATATTATATATTCTTAAATAACACTCAAAATCTTACAAATACATGAATGATACAGAAATACACACCCAAATTAGTCAATAAAATATTTGGAACTAAATTCTTTTTTCATATGAATGTCAACCCTTAGTAATTTCCTACTTACTGTTTTAGACGGGACTGTAGTAGATCCAGTCGTTCCTCCCTCAGACTGCCCCCACATAATTCACCTATTCCAGGCACCAGGAGATCCACTGCTGACACCTAGTAGATGGCAACACAGAATTCAGAGACAAAGCACACTATTTGAAATGAAGGTGACATATTCTGCTTTTCTGAAAGGCATCTGAAGAAGGTAAATAATTTTGTGCTTCACATCAACTTGATGGCAGAGTACCGCAAGAATAAAGAATTATAAAGTGATTATAAAATTATAAAATTCTTCTGCTTTAGTTACCATGGCTCTAGATTTTTCCCATCAGTAAAATTAACATATTGTATCTCTCAGTGAAAACAGCAGTATAGACATTCTGAGTGTTCAAAAGCAAAATTGCAGCACAAAAAAGTGCTACAAATGATAATTACTGAAAACATACATAGATGAAAACACTAATTGAATCACTTAATTGATGGAAACCAATTAAGTCAGGAAACTTAAGTTTCCTCTTCTTCTAATGTTTACTAAAGCCACTATATAAATGCAATTTGTTGATGTAAACATTTACATATGGTCTGAGGTGGCAAGACTGAGATCTGTTTGTAGAGTATTGCCATTTTGATAGTATATGTTGAAAAGATTATTAAAAATGCTGTATGCTACAGTTGTAGATAACAACAAATTACATTTGTATAGCGCCTATCATGTCAAGATGCCCAGATGCCACTGTATTAGCAATAATCCCCGCATTTGATGTAGAACCATAGAAATTTTCAGCAGAGGAGACCATTCGGCTCATCGTGATTGTTGTCTTTTAAGGTGCAATTCTCCGCCTCGCCCCCTCGTCTCCTTCAAGATCCATCTCAAGACCCTCCTCTTCGCCCGTGCCTTCGATCACCCTCCTTCCCCCCATGTCCTCCACCTTCTCCGATCCCGACACCCAGCTCAGGTCCGAAATACTGACTGGGACGTCCGTCCGGCGTGAAAGGTGCTATACAAATGTAATTTTGTTGTTGTTTGCTGCAACTCAAAAACTACCAGTTCCTCAAGTCTCTGCTCATTGGCCAAACCGTGATTGCTTAATTGTTGGTGAACTTTATCTGAGGAAAGGACAGGGAGATAAGGAGTCATAACAACAACAACCTTAAAGATACTTTTAAGTTGTTGTTGTTGTGACTCCTTATCTCCTTTAAAGATACTTTTGATTGAATGTTTGCATTGAACTGGTTTGCTTCAATGACAGCACATAAGTGATTTAAACGTAAGTCATTTTAATAAGACTCTGTGCGTCGAAGGTGACTTGTGAAAGGAACCAGCCAAGGCATATCTTATCATGAATTACATTAAACAAGACTTTTTTATTACTTCTCAAATAACTATGCTCATTTTGTAAGATTTCTACAATATAGAATATGTTTACAGTTAAATTCTATCATTAAAAGAGGACACCGATTCCTATGGATAATGAAATTGAAAATATGTCTTCCATCACCGGAGGAGGAAGACCAAATGGGTTTATATTAGATCATGTAACATCCAACCCATAAATTATAGGATTCTGCTTACTGTATGCTGAGGTCCATCTTGATTATCTCTGGCATAGAAAGGCTTGATGTCATATGGGTAGTTAATTACAAAAACAGGAATATTGCCACAGTGTTGTACCAGATACTTCTCATGTTCAGTCTGTAGATCACAGCCCCACTGTGCAAAGGAAAGGGAGAGTCAACAATTAAAGTTACTAATATTTAGCACTAACGTTTTCAGAAAATATCAAACATTTTGTATGCAGATACACATATTAAACAAACTCATCACAGAAAACTTTGAAATGGTACAATGCAAGGATCATATCAAATACTCAAATCGATTATCAAAATGCAAAGATTAGACTCATCACAGATAACTATAGCTTCAACTAACTTTGAAATGGTACAAGCAGTCAGTTTCCAACTTAGTAAATTTGTCCATTTAAATTTATATATACTCTACATAAATGGCTACATTTATGGCTGAAAGCCAACACAGGCAGGATAGGCTGAGGGCCCTCCTTCTGTGGCGTAAATTTCTGCCGTTCTATAATATAATGCAATTAAGATAGGTTTGATATAAGAAAACCTATTTGATTGGTCTTCGCATTATAGTGCAGCCCTACAATAAAGGTACTTTAGTGTTGTGGATCCACATGGAGCGCTCTTAAAACTGTCTAACTGCATTTTACATGGACCCAACACAACCAGATTCTAGAGATGAAATGTCAGTGTGGCACCCAGCTTCCTTGCTTCACAAATGGCAGTGTTAATTTTTAGCTATTTTACCCACGTTGTTGCAATAACAGGACATATCCACATTAAGTTTGTAGACCTTACCTGTGGTTTAAACGTGAAGGTTTTTGTACTGTCCTGCAAAATGTCAATCGCTTCAGTATAAGACAACCTAAAGATTAAATTAACATGATTTAAGATATTAAACCAAGAACCTAATATTCCCTTGTATTAATATTTCTCATTTTATCAAAAAATATATTTTTACATTTTCTTCTGGTATTGTGTTCAACATTGTCTGAAATTATACTTCTGGTATCAATAAAAATGCGCAATGGGAAAACTTCAAAAAAAGAAACAGGAACTCCAAACTTTCTCAACACTTTTGTGAAAATAGTAACTCAAACCATATTGCTCAAGAATTAAAAGTAAAATAACATTTTTAGAAAAGGAAATAAGTTCACCTACACTTTAAATGTGTTTTTCAGCATCTTCTCCAATGTATCCTGAAAAAACAGGGTCAAAATTAATTTATTTTAGGAAAGAGGTAGAACAATCCTGAAATTTCCACAGGAAGTTTCCAGTTGCTTGGCACCATAGGGATTTTTTTTACAGAATCAGACATTAGTTTAAAACAGTTTCACATTCTTAAGCTTTTACATGCTCAAAAATTAAACAGCACCAAGGTCTTGAAGTAAAGAACTGTTTATCTTGAGCGCTTTGGAATTTTTAAAATTAAAATTGAGATCCACTTTTTTCATACATTCTTATATTCACATTATTGTTATATTCACAAGAATTTCCTAATTCTGTATTTTGCTTCATATCAATTTTACAATGCTTGAAACTTAATAGTAAAGCTTCAAGAAACAAGTGCAACATGTTATAGGTTATAATAATATAATAATCCTTATATTTGGTACACTGCCTTTCACATTGGGTGGACGTCCCAAACCACTTCACAGGATATTCTGTAAAGTGTAGGGACTGTGTGCGGAAGCCAAGTTGTGCGCAGCAATAAACAGCATAAACAGCAACAAAGTGATGGTTCTGGTGGTTTACAAGTACTAATTTGTAGTTCTGTAAACATTTTGATAGATAGGTCTTAGGAACTTAGGTTGAATGTGCAAACCTTCTGTTCAGGAGCTAAATATTTGTGAAAGAGTTCAACATCTTCTGGACATTCTGAAAGAATATGTGAGGTTGCAGACTTGAAGAGGTTCTCCATCACCTAGAGAAAATAGAAGGAACACTTGTAACACTTATTGCAGTCAAGACCAGTGCCAGAAAGAGAAAGAACGTCCATTGCTATTTTTTGGTCTGCCAGATGTCTGACACATGCATAAACCTAGTACCATGCTTAACAGCATCCAAACCAGATTTAGAGTTCCTCATATGTGTGTCACCTACATAGGATTGTTTCCCCATTTCTGGAATAGAATGTGCACCCTCTCCCAGGAGTGATAAACCATGCTTACCTTGTTCCAGAGAGTATTAGGCACAGGTTTGCTTCAGGACCCCAGAATGTGAGGTAGAGTTTAACCAGTTAAAATTGTACAGCTTGCCACTGAGAACTGAGTGTTCCTGCTGCTTGTCCAGCTAAGATCACCCTACCCATAAGGTATTTGGCTTGCAAGGTTAACAGAACCCAGCAACTGATCTGCCTCTCTTAATCCTGTTCATTAGCCACACTAGCAAGTCTGTCATCAGTAGTGGTTGCAATACCGGTGCTCTTTCAGAATCCCAAGATTTCAATGCCCCTAATCCTGGGATCAAACGTCAAAAATAAATAGCTTTCGGACTAGCTTTCGGACACTGAATGTTGTTAATATAATTTACAATACACACAGGCTTTGAAAGCACATTTTGGAGCTCTATGGTACTACACTGCTTAACAGCTTGACGCCGAGCTGGGAGAGATGACCGTAAGCACTGTTGAAGACAAGGAGTCTTAAGGTGTGATCTGAAAAAGGGAAGGAGTCAAGAAATAAAAAGAGCAAGATGAAGAGTTTGGTTGTTTAATTGCAGCAATGGTGGAGGGAGGGGGGGGATTTCTTAAAAGGTTTGGTATAGAGGCGGCTCAATTGAATTTTCATTCAGCTTGAAAATCCATACACAATAAAATATTGTTTTACTTTACATGATGGGGTGGAGAGAGAGGAAGTGAAAGTTTTTTTAAAATTTGGTATGCATCTAACTCTACAAGCTGCATTAGGAACTAAATGTGTAACAAACTAGATCCATTGGAACATTCAGCATTTTTATTTTAAAAACATAATATTTCCGCTGGTAGCCCAGTGAGTAAAAACATCACAAGGTGTAGAACTCAGACCATACGAGTGAATAAGCTTTTGAGACAAAAGTTGACTTCAGAGCTATATACATATAGTCAGCTAAAGGGTGTTCAATAGCAGCAAAACAACCTAATAAAAAGGCAAAGATAACTCTGAGTCAGAGACAATAGGCATGATTACACCCAATAGTGGGGAAAAAATTCTACATATTTCATAGCAAGTCCTTATTGGCATCAGGAAAGATCAGCTGACCTGCACATTGTTGACGGATAAAGTTCTGCTTGCCGGTACATAATTACAATGGAGGAAATGCACCCGACATCATCAATGCTGCTACGCACAATATGTGCTATAATTCAGCCCAATAGTTCTTTCTCCTCATGCATGATGATAGTTCTTGCTTTTATGTGAAGGTCAGATAAATGAGGAACAATCAAAGTTCTGTAGAATTACATAGATTTCAACTGTGATCATACAGGAACAGGGAATTTCCAAACACCAAAATAGTCACCAGCAACTTTTCACTTCCACTGGAACTCTATTGAGGTTCTTTGTGTCTGAATAAAAATAACCACATATGCAAAATTCACATTGTGCTAAATAACCTAAATGGATAATTTTAGGTATTCTATGAAACAATTTAATTACAACCAAACCATACTGGTGACCCTCATAAATAAGAACATAAGAATTTGATAGGCGAACGAAGACCAAGGTCCCTCTAGTTCTCCTTCCACCCACATGTGCTTGACATGTTGTATCCCAAACTATGTATTGTATCCCGAGATATTATTTTCTAGCAGAAATTTATCTAATTTGTTCTTGAAACAGACAACACTTTCTGCTTCCACTGTCGTCTTATGGAGCCTGTTCCATAAGTTTACTACTCGCTCACTTAAGCTAGCCAGCAAATGGTTTGCCTTACTCACTGCTACCGAGCACCTTTGCGATCGCTTCAATTTATTGTCAATCAGGATCCGCAGGTGCTTTTCATTTTCCATACAGGTTATTTTCTCCCCATTTAAATAATATTCCCTTCCTGGATTTTTTGTCCCCATGTGAAGACTTTGCATTTCTCTACATTGACTTTCATGTGCCATCAATCTGCCCAATTCCCAAGTATGTTCAAGTCCTCCTCTAATCTGTCCTGTTCATCTTTCCAGTCTACCACTTTCATTAGATTTGTGACATCTTCAAATTTAGCCACTGTGCTTTGTGACTCCTAGTTCCAGATCATTTCTGAAGATGTTAAATAAAAGAAGTCCCCAAACAGACCCCTGTGGAACTCCACTGGTAACATTCTCCATAACATAAACAGAAGAAGCTTCAAACCATAATAACACAAGTGAATCTAGTGCATCAAACAGGTATACAATATGGCTTTTAACAAATATTATTCTTTAAAGAATGGGTTAAAGGTTCTTCTCAGTTATGACAGCCACACAATGCAGTATTAATAACTCCTACCTTTTATTCGCCATGCAATATGAGTTAAAGAAGGAATGAAATCTAGAGGTAGTAAGTTTTGTTCAAATAAATGAAAAAAAAATTCTGAAATTGTTTCCTAGGACTCCTTCAAAAATTACTTTCCTTTTTAAGAATCCCAGTGCCTTGGGACGTCCTTCCGACTTGAAAGGCATTACAAAATATAATTTTGTTATTATTGTTATATGAATCCAGATCATAAAAATAACTTAGCTGCAAATTTAACACCTTTGGTTAAATGAAATAAATGGTACATGTACATTTGTTTGGAAAAAGAACAATCATACTTCTAAGGTATATAAGATCAAGTTGTTTATTTAATTATTTTATGCAATAGCTTACTGCTTTTTTTTCTCCATAACTTACTCTACTAGCTGAGAAACTAGTCACAATAATATTCAATTAAGAATCCTTACATTTAATATTGTGTCTATATGTCAAAACATGCAAAGCACTTCAAAGGTAATTGCTGTGACTGTGTATTTGTAAGCAAATCCAACAGGCAATTTGAGCACAGTGTGGTCCCTCCCACAAGTAGTAATGAAGTGAATGACAAATTTATCTGGAGAACTGTTATTAGCGGGAAACATAGGCTGACTGGAACATTACTTTCCCAAGGTACACAGAATTATTGTACAATGGACAACACCCTTTTAGAGCAAGGCTCTTTTCTCGGTTTCAGAGGTAACAATACCTCTGCTTTGCCCACATTGAGTTAACAGTTTGAATATCACCAATGCATTATTGCAATTACATGATTGATGTGTTGAGCTTTGAACAAAGATAAGTCATAATATCTTTGAACAAATATCTCTGAACAATCTGTTATATTTAGGTTTATGAAAGTGAGACTGTATGAATCACAAGTTGAAGAATAAAGTGTGTGTAGAAAAGCAGAAGAGCGCAAGGAAACCAGTTGTGGTGAGCTGTAGGAGGCAGGGAAACCAGCTGTGACTATTGTTTTTCAAACAGAGTACTGAAGTAATTCAGGAAACTAAGATGAAGGGTAATTCATTTTCTAAGCATCTTCCTGAAGTAAATATGTTTCAGTTGATAACAACTAGTTTTTTTTCCCTCATCGATCAGGATACAACCTAGACAACTATACCAGCACATATTCAAAATAGAATTTACATTTGAATTAAGAGTTTAACATCATTTTAAACAAGTTAATCATAAATATGCCTAAACGGCACCTTGGACATTTTGTAACTGAGCAGTCCTTACCTTCATAATGTCTTCAAGACTTTCAGTAAAGGCAAGCTCTGCTTCCACCATATAAAACTCTGCTAAATGCCTTCGAGTTTGGGAGTTCTCTGCTCGAAATGTAGGGCCAAATGTGTACACTTGAGTGAAAGCCCTGATAAAATAATGAAAATAATGACATGATTTACTGGAAGGTAATAAAACTCATTACATTCACCTAAAAATGAGTGTAACCCTGTGATGACGTTATATTGGCAATCTTTATCACAAAACTAATTATCAGGATTTTTTAAAATTAAGGCTTTTTGTTTTTTGTAATAAAATTACATGTTCACATGTATGCAGCGTATAATTATATACACAGACAATTTACATATTTTCTATGGCCAGCAATGATGCCTTTTGAAATGAATAAATTACCCAATTAAACTATATTTAGAATATTACTCATTAAGTAGGACACTCATTAAGATTTTAAAATATGTTGCACAGAAATTAAACAGTATTGCTTCTATTTGGAATAAAAAACAGAATTTATCATGTACAAATTGCAGATTTTGCAAACCAAATTATTGTGCTTTAATTTGCCAAATTAGACTAATTACAATCAGTTATATCATGTCTGAAAAGATTACATGATAAGGAAAATACCAGACTGGAAGCTGACACTTTACTGTTAAAGGCCAAGCGCGCCGGGATTTTTTATTGTTCTGTCTGATTGCATAAGGTTTGAAGGCGGATTTTAATACAAAAGTGTGTAAAATATGAATTAGGCATCTTAGTTGTACCATCCTGGCCAGTTTTGCAATTTCGGACATGGAATTTGCCAGTTCCATGTTTTTTGGTCAAAACAAAGATGAGGTAGGGTTGGCAAAATGTCAATGACTTATGTTAATTTAGGGTCAAAATTCATAAATCTGCTATGATTTTGTCAGATATACTCTGCTCTTTAATAATATAGCAACTGATCTACAATTCATATGTCGGTGACATCATCACAAGTCAAAGGTCATAGAAAGCATAAAAATTCAGTATAAAGCACATTTATACTGAATTTAAATTTATTATGAATGTATCAACATAATCAATAACAGTCAATTGTATTTACCAAACGTAATAATATTACTTAAATTAGATATAACGGGGAAACCTAAAAGTAAAAGTAATCTTCATTCATTGTCATAATTGGATTCATCAGAAGAGAAACTGTTATTTTCACCATCAGAATTACTTTCATCAGTAAATGATTCATCATCGATTGCAGCACAGATAATCTATGGGATTATTCACCTTCAAGCCAACTGAGAATGTATTTGCCATCCAGTAGTTTCCATCCATATTCGCATGGATCAAGCTGACCAGGTGAATGTAAGTCTGCTTTTTTTCACATGCAGGCAGCACAGTGCCACTGTTTGGTTTTCTGAATCAAAGCTCAAAAATTGGAAACCCTTCTGCAAACTTTGCTGGAGGTAGAAGGCTAGTCAGAACTTTTCATCTTCTCCAGTTTATTCTTATTTGTTGGAGCATCTGAAAATAGAATTTGGGCTTGCCATACAAAGCACAAACTCCTCTAACATTTCTGTAAGCTGATCAGTATTTTCTGACGATCTAAGATTTCCAAAAGCTTGCAGACAGGTTTCCAATTTTTCAACCAGTTCTAGTGAATGAATCTTTCATGAAGACAGATGTGTAATTGGATCCAGTAAATGCACGTAAACCTACCAGGGCTAGATACAGATTCTGACCAAGATATTTTGCCAGTCTATGTAGTCCTCGTGGTCCCATTGTGCCCCACATACATCCCAATCTTTGACTGCAACTTGTTCATATGGAACAGAAATTCAACCCAAACATCAATATCATAACAGCATGCAACTATATTTTGAATCTCAAGGATCCTGGAAACATAGAAGTGGAACACTATCCTGGTATTAGCCTCTTCCTGTACATAGTGAAGGTCTGATATGTTTTCTCAAATCACAATACCATCTTGTATGTAGAAAAGATAATATACTTTGTCAAGACCTATGTATACTTTCTAATCACCAAGAATTCATGTATATATGGTATTTTGCCATTCATCTGCTAGAAACAATGTCTTGAAAGTTCCTGAACGTAGGGTTCTATGAAAACCTTTAGGTCGTCTTTGTTTAAGTCCAGTAACGTTCAGGTCATTGATTATGGAGCCCAGCTTGTTTCTTTCGAGGTTCTTTATTAATAGATTGTATGTATCACAGAGAAAGTGTATCTGTCCTGCAAATCCACACAGTATGGACAAAATTATTCTAGCAACACCACCAAATGTTACTGGATGTTAATGTATCAGGTACGTGGCATCTACAATGCAAATATCAGTAGACAATAACAACAAAAATACATTTGTAAAGCGCCTTTCGTGTTGGGAGGACGTCCCAAGGTGCTAGACACAGGTTACTCATACATAATTTTGGCTTCCATTTTTGCCATTAGTTCTGTTTTGTTTATGGAGCCATCTGAGCTAGATAGTGGCAATGGTGCCAATGGAAAGCTGAATGTCAATTGCAATTCCACTTCCATAACAATTGCAAGATACAGCAATCATCCAAATAAATCTCTTGACCACCTCAATCCCTAATTCGCTGATCTTTTTAGTTCCAACTTTATGGTTACTGCTGTTGAAGCAAAGTTCTTCATCCTCCGATGAGAAATAGTTTTCTCAAAATGAGAAGAATCTGCAAAGCATCCGCTGCAAAACTCCTCAGACTATTTCTGACCTTTCTCATCAGTTAGTCACGTCATCATTTACATCCCTAGGCATATCATGACCTGTTGATATCCAGTAGATTATCGTCATGGGAATTCTCTGTAAAGGGATCTATTGTAGTCTGTATACTGCTGATGATTTTTTCAAGTCCAAGTTATCTCATCTTGGCCAGATCGTTCTTTTTTTATCCATACCTACTTTAGACAAAAGGTGCCCAACTATTCAAATCCATCAATTTCGTCAATGTTTTGGTTGTTTGTGGGTTGTCATGCAGCTGAAATAAGCCAGCTCTGAGGTTTGTGGGTATGGGGCTGCTGTCTTCTTTCAATAAGCTTTGGAAGTACAAGTGCCAGAATGCCAAAGCAAGGAGTAGATAGAAGTGTTTGCAGCGATTATGTTTTCCTGAGATGAATCCATTGAGTTACCCAGCAGCCAATACCTCTGAACTAGAGATTTCCCGAATTTAAGCTTTAAACTCCTCCAGTGACCTCATCTGTATTGAATATATTAACACTTGCTGTTCATGCAGCTATATATTTTATGTAAAATGTTATGATTGAACTAGGAGTCCTGTAGATCAGTGGTTAGAGCACTCGCCTTGCAAGCGAGACACCTGGGTTCAATTCCTGGCAGGGCGAAACCTTGGGCAAGTTTCCTTACTTCACACGCCTAATAATAATCCCTCCAAAACAAAGCAATAATAAATTGGTCATTTTTAATCCATGACTGTTTGTGGGACACTGCTGTGCACAATTGGCTGCCGCATTTCGCCTACAAATATACGGTCAATTCACTTTACAGTCTATTCTGTGAAGTGCTTTGAGACGTCGAGAAGACATGAAAAGCGCTATATCAAATGCAAGGATTATTATTATTATAACTAAAAATGTAGAAATTATATATGTTTTTGTACCCCTAGCTCATTGTGCCATATTTTTTTGTAGTATAAATAAGCCATAATTCAGCGACAGATTCTGCAAAACTGTACAGGATGGTACAACTAAGTCTGGCTAATTCATATTCTACAGTTTTTCTGTATTAAAATCCACCTTGAACCTTTTGCAGTCAGACGGAAGAATAAGTAGCTCTTGGACTATGTACTTTGTTGTTTGCACTTTGCGAAATCATTGCTGAGAAATAGCAACTGCAAAATTCTATTTATATATGCATATACTGATCAAGTTACATTAATTTGTTATATATATACACACACACACACAACAAATTGATGTAACTTGATCAGTTACAAATCAGGTTGGCTTTGTGTGTAATTGTTTGAGCCACCTCAGTCTTGTTGGAATATATACAGCTATTTAATTTGTGACCCACAAACATAAATGGGACCCATTGGGTGGTGTAATGGGCTTGCACATTGGCCCCTTAGAATTGGGATCAAATTCAGCTCAGACAATGGAGGGAGAAGAGGAAAGAAAAGAACCTCCTCTTGCTGACACCTGTAAAAGCTGTGCGTGAAATAATTAAATAGTGCCAACAGTAAATAGTACAGATGAATCAACAAGGAACACCCCCTGACTTAGCTTAAATAATTTTCTCCAAAACTGGTTTCCGTATCCATTGAGGCAGCTGGACAGATCCCAGCAATTCAGTGACGACTTATCTCAATTATAAAAGGTGATTTATACAGGTTTATCTCAATTTTAAAAGGTGACTTACAAAATTCACTAAAGCAGCACTGAAATCTTGGAATTTGCATAGCAGGAGGATCAAAGATGCCACTTGTTAGCTGAATGAATATAGAAACTGGGTTTGAGAAATAAAGTAAGAACAAAGTCGGGAAAGGGGTTCCCATGCAGCAGTTATTGACTTCAGTCCATCTTCAGGACCAGAATGTTCCAGAAAGTGATAACATTACATACTGCAATTTGCATCCAAGTTATTATAAACTGAATTTATTAGATCAAAGCATCAAACTCAGCTGATAAAGTTATCCACACACTCACTGCTTGGCGAGGTATAATCACCCTCAGCAGGCGAGCTTTCAGCCACTTTGCCCCTGCCCTCTGGAACTCTCTTCCCTAAACCTTTGGTATCATCTCCTCCCTCTCAATTTTCGAAATGCTTTTGAAATTTTCAAAAATGTATATCTTTTATTGTGCCAAAGACCATCTCCCCAATACCCCTACGATCTCCTTCCCAGCTTTGGCACTCACTTTGTAAAGTGCTTTGAGACATTCTGCCTATGTAAAAGGCAGCATATTAAGTGCAAAGTGTTAGGGTCTTTTGACGGTGCTAAAGGTGCTATCAATGCAAACACATTGTGTATTTGACAGAAGAGATATTTACACAGGTCACATATAAAGTTATTTAGCTGCATTAAATCTATACTCTGATGATATTCTACTAACATTTGCTTACTAACACCTTTACAACAGGTAATTTGTACAATTAACAAGGGAAATGCTACAAAATAATAATAATCCTTGCATTTGATATAGCTCCTTATCACATTGTCAAGATGTCTCAAAGCTCTTCACAGAATATACTGTAAAGTTAATTGACTGTATATTTCGTGGGAGAAATGTGACAGCCAATTGTGCACAGCAATGTCCCAGAAATAGTCTTGGACTGAGTGACCAAATTATTATTTTTTGAAAATAAAGTTAATAGCTGCAGTCCAAAAACAACAATAGACTTCCTAATAAAACTAAAGCGTTGACAGCACATTATAAACAGGTATTTTTCAAGGCAGTTTACAATGTCTCCTCTACATTGCCACTAAAAAAATCAGCCTATGAACCAGTCACATTACCACTGAATAACGAACCAATGGGCACTCCAGAAAATTACCCAAACAATGCCTAGTGTCATGTAAGTTTGTTTTAAGTGAATTAGCGAACCAAACTTTTCACTAACTATACATATGATGTGAAGTTGATGAAAAACCTTGTCAGCTTGGCGCAGTGGTCGAACCCTTGTTTCTGAGTCAGCAGGTTGTAGGTTCAAGCCCCACCTTGTGACTTGGGATCATATAGTCTATGCTGTCACGACAATGCGGTGCTTGGAGGCGTTCTGTCGGAGGTGCTGTCCTTCGGATGACTTGTTAAACCGAGTTCCCATCAGCCTGTTCAGATGGATGTTAAAGATCCTATGGCACTATTCAAAAAGAGAAGGGAGTTTCTCCCAGTATCCTGGTCAACAATCCCTCAAATAAAATTGGTCATTCATTCACTTCATGGCTGTTTGTGGGGCATTGTTGTCACAACTGGCTACCGCATTTCGCTCACAAAATACATAAGTCAATTCTGTGAAGCTCTTTGATACGTTTCAATAACATGATAAGGAGCTACATCAAATGTAAGCATTATTATTATGATGTGGAAAAATCTACATATTTCCTCTTCCAAAACATTACCCTTATACAGGCAAAGTAGAAATTTTTTCAATTTGTTGTGCAAAATGTTGATTTTTTAATATATGTTTGCAAAAGCAAAGATGATCTTTTAAGCTATCCAATCAGATAATAAAATGTATAACCATTACATTTCATTAAGTAATTTAAGTTATTAGGAAATATCTAAATTTTATTTAGCATTATAGGGCATATCGCCCACAAAATTCACTTTACAGTATATTATGTGAAGCCTTTGAGACGTCTCAAATATGTAATAGAACGCTATACCAAATGAAAGGAATGTTATTATCCTCTATAGCAGAATGCATGCATCTTCCCAATTTTGCTAAAAAAANCTGACTTCTATGAGTCTGTGACAACTAAAGTGATTGAATCCTGAAAATTGTTTGCAGCAATTAACATAACAGAACTCTTTAAATGCTAAAACATTTTTTTTAAAACTCACCCTGCCATCACTTCCAAATGCAGTTGTCCAGACACAGTTAGGAATGAAGGAACATTAAAGAAATGAGGATTGTCCTGATTTTTATCTTCTTTCCTTGAAGCAGGCTGCAATACAAAATTGATGCTTAATATGTAATTATTGTGAAAACTTTCCCATTAGCACTCCAGGCAGACCTCAGCTAGATTCTCACAGTTCATGGTATTGGTGATATAGTCTTCAGTGCAGTGCTAGGGAGGCTGCATTGTCAGAGGTTCCATACTTTGATGAGACATTAAACCGAGATACTATCTGCCTGTTCAGGCAGACGTCAAAGATTACATGGTATTTTGAATATTTCAAAAAAAAAGGAGTTTCTCCCAGTGTCCTGGCCAAAAATCCTTCAGTTAAAATTAGTCAATCATTCATGTGAATGGGATTTTGTTGTGTGCAAATTGGCTGCTACATTTACCTACAAAACTCAGAATTATAGTAAATCCTGTGAAGTGCTTTGAGTCTTGATGACATATTAAGGTGGTACATTAAACACAAGGATATTATTATTTTGCGGAAGTCATGTTGCCCCTTTGATTGAGTTCCATATAAAGATTTTTTTCCATTTAGTTCTGGAGTAAATTAAGGTATTTTTGCTCCCCCGCGAGCATTTGAATCAGTACAACTGAAATGTATTTTTGTAAAATGTATTGGCAGACATTCTGTCCAAACCATGCTGTTTCAAATTAGCTGCAGTACCAATTTCCTACCACAATAATGATGCAAAAACTATATCGGCTTTCCTATGTAAAGACTATTGGTTGGTCATGTTAAAAGCACAATACCACCATCTTGTGGCCAAAAAGGAGAGCTCCACCAACATTAATTGAGGATTTAAGTTGACAATTGTTCACTGACCGATGTCAAAAAGTTCCTCAGTGACTTGCGGGAAACAATAGTTATATTAGCACAATAATTACGGTAGCGAGCGCCACTGAGTTTCATGATTCAAACATCATATAAGGTGGCCATAACATGTTTGTTCTACATCTATACAATGTTATCCTCTTGTCTGCTTGGCAATTCCATTCTTTCTGGGCCAGGCATTCTTCCAAACTTTATTTCACACACTATGAAGCTGAAACATTCCCAGCATTATATGCACATTAGAAATAACATGATTCTCAAAAGCTACCCATGGGAAATCATTAATTATCTCTTTACAGCTTGAAACATTTCCATTTATGGCTTCCTTTCATTTCTTGTTTTTGAGTTTTGAGTTAATTTATCCATGCAGCATTGAACTTTACCCTTGAAGAGGCCATTAACTTTTTTTAATCTTATACATATCTTTTATCTTATACATTAATTGCATTACCTTTGTGCAGTATTACAATATTTTGGAAAACTTGAGCAGTCTATCACCTCCCCTTTCTGAATGATGTCCTATTCCCTATTTGAAATAATTTCCATGTAACTGATACACTGAAGGTTATCTGTTTCCAGATACACGTTTTGACCTTTTTGTATTTAAGCTAATCACCACTTTGGTCATCTCTTAAAGGCTTTGGACAAGGTTTTTCAAGCTGTTCTCTGAACAAGACATTACTTTTTCACTAGTTCATGACAAGCTCAGATCCTCCAGTTGATGGTTCATTTTCAGACTTGTTTAGTACATCAGAAGTTTCTGCTCACCTCCTTAACCATACTCATTCTTTTGCTAATTATTCCACCTCACGTTCATCAAATTTCTTCCTCAATCGCAACCAATCAGAGCATACAACCTTAATTCTTCCTGGTTGAATTACTAAACCTTGGTCTCTTTCAAGCCCTTTGATGGAACAATGACAGTCAACCTCACATATCCCTCTATTTTTAAATACTTAAATCTCCAACATGCTTAGTTTCTTCCTTCCTGCCAACACCTTTCTCCTCAACAATGTTTAAGTCCTATTCTAGTACTTCTTGTGCACTCTTATGTGGATACAAGAAAATACTTAAAAAGCATTCTCTAACCGGAAACCTCCATAACCTTTATTTTTTCCAATATCACTATGGTTACTGCTTCTCTAATTTCTATCCTTGGTCCTCCAAAGCTCCAGATACAGCAATCAACTTGCATTTATAACAAACACAGAAGTCGCTGGGAACACTCAGCAGATCAGGCAGCATCTATGGAGAAAGGAAAGTGAGTCAACGTTTCGGGTCCCACGACCCTTCATCAGAACAGGGGCATGTTGGGAGGGAGAGGGTTTTAATGGCTAACGGAGAGAGGCGGGAGGCAGGGCAAGGAAGATAAAGGAGAAAATGGGGTAGAGAACAGGGGATGATGGGTTAAATAGGTGTTAATGATGCAAAATAAAGGGGGGGATTACAACAAACCAGGGGAATAGAGGTGTTAATAATGCATTTATATACTGGCATTCACATAACTGAATGTTTGGAAATGCAGTTAAAAATGAGAATGGTGGACATCAAGCTGAATTGAAGACATGGTCAAAGAGGTATAGTTATTTTAGGAAGAGATGCATTGTTTGAAATCAGGTAGAAATGTGTCAAGGCAACATAGTTGTGGAGAATAGTTCCTGAGGCCAGGAGCTTGAAAGTTTGGCCTCTCATAATCGCACAAAGAAATGGGCATGAACAGCAAATTTGGCAAAAGAGCAAAAATATAAGCTGAGTAGTTAGGATGGAAATCATGCTGATGGGGAACGTCAAGACCGTGGAAAGATTTGAAAATGAGGTTGAAATTCTTGAAAACGTTCCAGTGTAGGGCAGGGAGCCAGCAAAGCTTGGCATGAATAGGAATGCGGACTCTATCTGCAGAATTCTGGATAAAGTGAAGCTTGTGAAGAGACCCAAGGAAGTAAGTGAATGAGGAAAGCATTGGAAAAACTCAATCCTAGACATGACAAAAGCATGATCAGGGTTTTAAAGATCCTGCTGAGGGTGTAAGCAAGCAATATAGCAGGTATAAAGCAGCAGCTCTGGGAATGAATCTATTGTGGGGTTTGAAACTCAGCTATGGGTTAAAAAGAATATAAAGGTTGATTACTTGATAGATTCAATATGAGCAAGCAACTGGGAAAGTTTTGAAATTGGAACTGGAAGCACATAGATTTTTTTTTGGAGGGGGGGTTCAGCCAGGTGTCTGACACATGCAGAGAACCATCACCATGCTTAAGAATATCTAAACTAAACTGAGAATTCCATGCATCCCAATAGATGTCTACTAAGTTTGCTGTCCCAACTACAATTAATTATGTTGCAGGGATCTCAGAAGTGTGGAACTCCCCACTTTCTTCTGCCTTTCCTTCTCCTACAATCTATAAACTTTTAAAACCTAACCACTGCTTATCATAATTACTACTTATTGATTTACCTAATTCCGCTCCTGTCCTTTCTATCTTTGGCAGTCTGCACTGTATTTGGTTTCTCATTCAAAAAATGCACCTAACCTTTTATCAATCATTTCTTCATTATTCGCACAGTGCCTAGCTCTTCCTCCGGCACCGCTGGAAATCTGATTCCTGACTCAGGCAAAGCTCCATCCTTTTCCTCTGTAAAGAAAGGTGCAGTGTAACTGTTCAGCAACAAGATTTCCTTATCTCCCAATTTCAAATCACCTCATGTTTTACAGTGGACCATTGTTTTCATTTACTTATAAATCGCCACCAAAACTTTCATTTATCTAATTTCATAGGATGTTACTGGTTCAGATTAGTTGCTTAGAAATTGACCATTACACTTCAAAGTGTCTTGTCTTGAATAAAGTAAAATATTAAATGTAAGCATTTTTTGTTTTCTGTATATTCACCAGAATTGAGCTGTATTGCTACTGAAGATCTATAATATAGCTTGACAGAGCCTTTTCTACAGTTCCTTATCTATGAGGGAGCAAGCACTGGTTGTCCTCCAGTACTTTATAAGTAGCTATTTTTGATGTGTAGGTGAGTTCTTGAAAACGTCTTGAGAAATATGGAGTAGTATTATACCTTGCCCAATCCATTTCTCATCCAACATTGGATACAGGGCTAACAAAAAAACTCACTTAACTATATTAGCCTCTGTTACTTTTTAAAAAAAATTAAGTTTACCAGAGACAAGAGGAACTGGACCTATTTTCTATGGAACAGAGTAGGATGAGGGGGGAACTGATAAGAGATTATTAAACTTATGAGGGATTTCAATAGGAGTAGGTAGTTAGAAAGATAGGAAAGGCGAAGATTAGGAGAAATTTAGGAATGTTGTTAAGATGTGGATTGTAGGATATGGAATGTCTTTCCAGGTACGGTGGTTGAGGCAGGATGCATATTAACGTTCAAGAGGGAACTAGATATCTAAATAGATACCCTCTGAGCCCTACACCCCTCCTGATTCAAACCACTAGCTCGGGTCAAAGTCCATGACTGTCCAGTGCCTTGGTATGTCCTCCTGGTGTGAAAGGCACTATACAAATGTAATTTGTTGTTGTTATAAAGAGTAATAATCTTCTGGGATATAGGGGAAAAGGCAGGAAATGGGAGTGAATGGATTACTCCTTCAAAGAGCCAGCAAAGAGCCAATGGACCGAATGCTTTTCTTCTTTGATGTAAATTTCTATGGTTTTAGGAAGAACGTCAATTGCAATTCCTCCAATCAATTCTTAAATGTTTCCCGCTGAATATTTCCTACCTTTTCACATTATGTGCTTGTAATAATCACACTCATTTAAACTAAAACAATCTCTACCCCTGAAACAGATGCCTAAGTGTAAAATAATATCATATGCTGTCTGTTCCCTTCTTGAAGAACACCTCCATAACACACATCAGATCTACAAGTTGTCTTCATTGCTTATGAAATAAAACTTTGTTTTCTAATATTTTATCATTGAAGGTTCCGTGGGAATATTAAAGAGAAAACAAGAAAATAATACATTTCTAGGTTTAAGCCATACATTGTACTTACTTCAACTTGGAAGAGTTCTCCACCTCCTTCACAATCATTTGATGTTATTATAGGTGTGTGGATGTGTATAAATCCATTGTTCTAATTTTAAAAAAAGCATCAAACGCAATAAGGTAACTGTAGTTATTGAGCTATGTACCTTTCAAGAATTCTAATCACTATGAACAAAAGATTATATAGAATTGCACAGTACTGAAACAGACCATTCAGCCCAACTAGTACATGATTGTATTTATACTCCACATAAGCCTCCACTGATCCCCTATACTCTTCATCTTCTACAGACTTCCCGTCAGACCTGAATCCCGGATGAAAGCCAACTTTCTACAGTTAAACGTCAGTAAGACCGAGGCTCTGCTGATTGGCTCGCGGGAGCGCCTCCGCACCTTAGTCACTGGCAACATCGACATCGAAGGATGCACACTCCACCTCACCAAGCCAGAGAGGAACCTAGACATTTTGTTCGACCCTCAACTGTCCTTTCTATCCCACAACTGTGCCATGTCTCGCTCTGCCTTCCCCCACGTCCGAACATTGCCCGGCTCAGCCACTACCTCAACCCTCAGGCCGCCGAAACCCTTATACATGCTTTCATTACAGCCAGGCTTGACTATGCCAACACTCTGCCATGCTTGTCGGACTTCCCAACTCTTCCCTCCCCAAACTGCAGATCATTCAGAACTCTCCAGCTCATGTCCTCTCCTGCACCAAGTTCCGTGAACCCATCATACCCCCCTTGCCCGACTCTACTAGTTCCCTATCCCTCAGAGAATCAAGTTCAAAATTCTCGTCCTGATCTTCATGGCCTTGCCCCCTCCTACCTCTCCGACCTGCTAACCCCTTATCAACCTGTCCACTCTGTCTACTCAGCAGACTCCAGCCTGCTCCATGCCCCCCACCCGGCCCATTCCACCATCAGCAGTTACGCCTTCATCCTCTCTGCCCCCACCTCTGGAACTCCATCCCTTCACCTCACTCCCTTCCTTGCCTCCTTCAAGGCATGCCTCAGGATGCTCCTCTTTGACCGTGTCTTCGGCCATCCTCCTACCCTCTCTGCCCTCCACCCTCCCTGATCCCAACCACCCCACGTGAGTCCTAATCCTTGACTGTTCAGTTCTTTGGGACGTCCTCCCGATGTGAAAGGCGCTTTACAAATATAATTTTGTATTATATGGTGTATAAAGTGATAACTGATATTTTTGTTACAATTTTGTAAATACTGTGAGAAGCTGTCACGGCAAAAAGATAAACTTTCAATTTAAGAACGTAAGAACTAGGAGCAGGAGTAGGCCATTCGGCCCCTCGAGTCTGTCCCGCCATTCGATAAGATCATGGCTGATCTTCTGACCTAACTCTAATTACCTGCCCTATCCCCATATCCCCTAATTCATCTATTTTTAAAAAATCTATCAGTCTATTTCAAGATGACTGTACAGTTAGTAGTAAGAAGTAGATTTTAAACACAACAAAATGAGAAATATTGTTAACACAGGGTTCAACCACTATATAAACTTATTTCAGGAAGGCCTCAAAATTTGTTCACATGGAAATACTGTAAATTAAGGATTTATAAATGGTAAATAAATGGGCCAACAAATATACCCCAATTATCTGTACAATAAGAACATACCTTAAAAAAGGAATTAATAGCTGCAGTTGCTTCACTTCTTAATCTAAGGAGTGAACTGAAGACATTTGTTTTGCATCGAAGATGAGGAAATTGTCTTAGGTATTCCAGTGAATGTCTGTCTTTGATCTTAAATGGGAAGCTCTATTGTTCCATAAAATACATGCAAAATAGTAAAATAAGTAAAGTTTCCCAATCATATTTGAATCCACAATGTAAATAAAGTTCATAGGGAGAATATATTCACCTCATAATACAATAATCTATAAATTTCCCAGCATAAAGAAAATGATTACTGAATAAACTTTCCTAAATGGGAATAAGTTTCCCAACTCCCTGCACAAACATGTTAAAAGGCAGCATAGTAATTGTCAACAGAAAGAATCGAAGTACAAAGTCCATTTTAACGTTCTTCCCTTTAAGGTTTTCTTATAAAATGCATAATCCCCATTTGAAAGAAGATAAATGTCATGCCTTAGAAACATGCCAATGTCACTCTATACTAGCTACAAGTTATGACTGATGAAAATACTTTGCTGAACTTTTCTTACCGTCTTTTTCAAAAACAAACTGACCTAAAGCTTATATCTGAACTTTAATACAATCACACATACCACTGGATTGCATGATCCAACTAATGTGATTTTATTAGCTTGTAGTTCCACATTCTGTTTCTGGTGGGGACTTGGCACTAATTTCCCCCAAACTTCAACCGCACTGCCGAAGGTTATATCTCTGTGAAAAAAATGCAATGAGACTATATGCAACAAAACAAAACATATTGTATTAAAAGCACAACAATTGGGATTTTTTTTGTAGTTAGTTAATTGAGGAGCTTTTTGAAATCTACATTTATTTGGATTATTTTCTACAGGCATACTATGTATACAACTTTGAACATTTCCCGTTCTATTTTATAAATAACAATATGCATTTGTGTTGTGGCCATCATGCAGGGTAGCGTCCCAGAGCACTTGACTGTGGTGAACCACGATTAATACTGCCAGTTACTGATTTTCTGAATTTTAAACTTTATATCCTCACTCTCTTCCACTTGGCTCTGTGAGTCTATTCATTCTCACTCAGCTCGAATGGCTTCCCATTTCCAACGCATCAAATTCAAGATCTTCATCCTCGCCCCATCCATGGTCTAGTCCCACCCTACCTCTGTAACCTCTACCTAGCTGCTCTCTCCACTTAACTATGGAAGATTGTTTCATGTCCCCGCTTGATCCATCCTACTTAAGGCAAGTTTAAGGGCAATTCTCCCCACACCATTCTCTCTGGAACTCCATCCCGGACTTCCTCTGCATCATCTGCTTTTCAAGTTTAAGGGCCATTCTCCCCACACCATTCTCTGAACTCCATCCCAGACTTCCTCTGCCTCACTCCCTTCTCAAATTTAAGGGCAATTCTCCCCACACCATTCTCTCTGGAACTCCATTCCGGACTTCATCTGCCTCACCCCCTTTTCCTCCCATCTTTAAAGCCCATGATAAAAATAATAATCATCCTTGGATTTGATATAGCGCGTTTCACGGCTTCTAGACGTCTCAAAGTGCTTCACAGAATATACTGTAAAGTGAATTGACTGTATTTTTGTGGGGGAAACGTGGCAGCCAAATTGTGCACAGCAGTGTCTCACAAAAAGATAAAAGTTTTGACTGCGCTTTCATTCATCTTTTGAACCCCTCTCCAACATGTTTATAAGTGCCCAGTCAGCTGTGTGAAGTTCTTTGAGGCATCTTCCTGATATGATAGGCACTATATGAACCTAAATTGTTTTGTTCAAATCAACATTGTTGCATTATCTCTAATTCCAGCTCATTCTCTATTAGAAATTCAAGAATGCAGAGCCCTCCTTTACATCCTTTGGTCTTCCCTTTCAATCGAAAGACATCTAACCACTTCATGATCTCGTATATCCCTGCTACTATTTTGAATCTTAATGACATATTACACCATGGATCTACCGAGCAGTGCTTAGGCAATCGTTTTTGGGAGGCCAAACGTTTCTGTTTATTTACACAGAAAACAAAATTTCCATATGTCAGCTCGTCTCAATACAGTGTCATCTTAGCTCAGTCAGTAGGACTCTTGCCTCTGGGTCAAACTAAAAGTTGAATAAAGGTGCACATATATATCATATTTAAAATGTACAACAGATAATACAAAAAGTATTTTAGAAAGCATATGACATAAATCAGTCCAACATTAAAACATGTAGTTTAAATTGTAAAATAAGAATTTGAACCAAATATTGAAGCACTGAAGGTCAAAGGTGCTGTCTAAGATGCTAAACGGAGGCCCCATCTGCCTATTTAGGTGGACGTTAGACTTACAGCTCTAGTCGAAACGAAAAGGGAGTTTCTCCCCAGGTTCTGGCCAACATCCCCTCAAATAACATTGATTATTTAATCATTGTGGAGTCCTGTAGCTCAGTGGTTAGAGCACTCGCCTTTCAAGTGAGACGCCGAGGGTCAATTTCAGGAAGCGCGAAACCTTGGGCAAGTTTCCTTACTCCACACGCCTAATAATAATCCCTCCAAAAACAATAATAAATTGGTCATTTTCAATCCACGACTGTTTGTGGGACACTGCTGTGCACAATTGGCTGCCGCGTTTTGCTCACAAATATACAGTCAATTCACTTTACAGTGTGTTCTGTGAAGCGCTTTGGGATGTCCTCCCGACGTGAAAAGCGCTATACCAAATGCAAGGATTATTATTATATTCTGTGAAGCGCTTTGAGATGTCTAGAAGATGTGAAAAGCGTTGTATCAAATGCAAGGGTTATTATAATTATTATTTCTGTTTGTGGGACACAGCCGTGTGCAAATTGGCTGCTGTGTTTACCTACAAGTCACTATACTTAACTGTACATCTGTGAAGCACTTTGGTACATCATCCTGACACGACAAGCACTAACCCAAATGTAAGAATTATTGTTATGGGATCTCTAATATCCACCTGAACAGGCAGATGAGACTTTGGTTTAACTATTCATGCAAAGGACACCGCCTCTTTCGCCCACACAATATAATCTATTCACTTTACAGTCTATTCTATGAAGCTCTTTGAGACGTCTTGAACAACAACAACTTGGATTTATAAAGTGCCCTCCATGCTGGACGGCGTCTCAGAGCGCTTTACAGTAATGGATCCCGGGACCGAGCCAGGGGGAGGGGGAGGAAGGTGACCAAAGGCACGGTCGAAAAGAAAAGTCTTCAGTGGAGACCTGAAAATGGGGAGTGTGTGCGGCGAAGGGAGTGAGGAAGGCAGCTACAGAGCCTCGGGGCATAGTGGCTGAAGGCACGGCCGCCGAGGGTGGAGCGGAGGACTCGGAGGAGGCCAGACCTGGAGGAACAAAGGCAACGGGTACTGTTTTGAGGAGAGAGGTCAGAGAGGTAGAGGTTGCAGAGGAGTGCAGGGACTTGAATACAAGGGTGAGGATCTTGAAATCGATCCTCTCTGGGATAGGCAGCAGTGCAGTCTGGCAAGGATCGGGGTGATCGGGGAGCGGAGTTTCGTGAATTTTTGAAGACTTGATAAGGCACTATATCAAATGTAAGGATTATTATTAGTATTACTTCTAACAATGCAGCACTTCCCCAGCACTGTACTGAGTGAGCTCAAAGTCCTGATTTGGGGCTTGAATCCACAACCTTCTGACTCCAAGACAACTATATTACCAATTGAACCAATATCTGCTGAGACAAAGTATTTCCTCACCTGGATCCTAAATGAGGGTCTGCAACTATTTGAAGGCTTTGTAATGAACTTCCATCATTAACATGGAAAAATGTAATTTCCTTCTGTGTACGAACAGACCGCACCCAGCCCTAAAGGTAAAATGACAATGTTAAACATGAAGAAACATTCTGAGGCAACAAAATTGGGAAAAGTTTGTATTTAATCTAAACAAACACCCAAAAAAGATGCATTAATAATATTTTTTGTAATGAATACATTCTATGAAACATTCTAATTAGGCTCCCCCAATGATTCAGCAAGTTTATCCGGTGAGTGCTAACGTTCACACACAAATCATGTTTTTGGCTTAGGTATCAGAGAATGCCCAGCACTGAACCCCATCAACTATACCCCAACTGAAAATGGAATCCAATACCCTGAGAAGAAGGGGAGGGTGAAAACTGGCAAGCAAGCATTCATTCTAGATATCATTTACAAAAATGTTATAACTATTCTGAAGAAAATGTGACTGTCATTTTAACTGCACAATTAGTGCTTCACATTAACTGAGAGGCATCCAATCAACAATCCTTGCATTTGATATAGCACTTTTCACGTCTTCTAGACGTCTCAAAGCGTTTCACAGAATATACCGTAAAGTGAATTGACTGTATATTTATGACCGAAACCTGGCAGCCAATTGTCCACAGCAGTGTTCCACAAACAGTCGTGGATTGAGTGACCAAATTATAATTGTTTGTTTAAGGACTATCATCCATGGAAAAGCGATCCGTCAATCGACTAACAACCGGGTTCTTAGTTACTGTTAGGTAAACAAAGGGGTGCAGAGTAAGGAAACTTATCCAACATTTCGCCCTGCCTCCCATCTTCATTATTGCTGTAGTGCCTTTCCTGTTTTCTTACCAAAAAGTATATTGAACATGTGATTTTGAACCTGATGAAATCTCAAACTACTGGCCCATCTCCAACCTCTCTTTCCAAGGTCCTGGAACAAGTTATTGCTTCCCAGACTTGCTCCTTCCTCTCCCATCACTCCCTTCACGAACCCCTCCAATCAGGTCTCTGTGCGGCTCATAGACAGAAAAGGCTTTAGTCAAAGTGACAAACGGCATTCTTTTCATCCTCGACCAGGGCTCCCTCTGCCTCCTTGTCCTCCTTGATCTCTCTGCTGCGTTCGATACCGTTTATCAATGTATCCTCCTCCACCGCGTCTCCTCTCACCTCAACCTTCATGGTTCTATCCTTGAATGGTTCAGATCCTGACCCCCAATTTGGGTCCGAAACACTGACTGTCCAGCCTTGGGACAACCTCCCGACGTGAAAGGTGCAATACAAATGTAATTTTCTTGTTACCCAGAATATTGACTCTTGGGGCCAATGTTGATTCTGGTGCACAATAATTGCCTCGCAATTTCCTCTTTTTGATCATTGGAAGGATTACAAGTTCTGTCAGTTTCAACTCACTTCGTTTCACAGAACCATAGGACAAACTACACACAATTCAGGACTGACAATCTAATTTCTAAAACTACAAAGATAGCTGATGTGAGAAAAAGACAAATCATATTAGTGAAGAGATTGCTCTTCTGAAGTTGAACACATTGAATTATAATGGAGGCTGCTCCATTCTGCACCTGCTTTATGATAACAGCGAATGTAATAAGAGAATCAATTCCACTTTGTTATCGGCCATTATAAGTTATCTTTCTTAATTGCAAAGACATTCATTGTAGAAAGATTTCAGTAACCCACAACCGATCAAATTATCCGATCAGCAAATATCACAATAAAATGACAATAAAATTAGTAATTACTTTAAAGTTACAAATTAAATATTTTAATACTGTATTTGTACAGTGATAGATAATTTACATCTGACCCATTTGGTAAAAAAAAATTAAATTCCTCCTAACTTCCACATAAGTATTCTACATCTGTTATTGTTAAAATTAAAAACTGTAATGCTTAGGTTCTCTCCCTTTCCACTTCCCGAAATAGCCAAACAACAGTTAAACAGATGTGAGAAGCCACGACTGAAGACAGAACATATTTTCTCCACTGACATCTGCGATTAATTTATTATTAATAATAATGGTACAGTTTTAAAGGGGGTTCAGGAGCAGAGAGACATGGAGGTTCATATACAAAAGAGGATTTTTTAAAAAAAAGTTTACACAGAGTTGTTAAGGCTGTAATGCACTGGCTGAAAGGGTGGTGGAAACAGACTATATAACAACAGTTCAATAACAACTTTCAAAAGGGAATTGGATAGGTCCTTGAAAAGGAAAGATTTGCAAGGATATGGGAAAAAAGCGGGGGAGTGGGACTAGTTGGGTAGCTCTTCCAAAGAACCAGCAGAGGCATGATGGGCCGAATGGCCTCCTTTGTGCTGCAATATACCACAACAATAATAATTGGTTACTGGTTAGAGCTCTTGCCTCTCAAGCGAGACTTGGGTTCGATTCCCGGAGGGCAAAACCTTGGGCACGTTTCCTTACTCCACACGCCTAATCATAATCCTTCAAGAAAAAAAACAATAATAAATACGTCACTTCAATCCATGGCTGTTTGTGGAACACTGCTGTGTGCAATTGGCTACCGCATTTTGCCCACAAATATACAGTCAATTCACTTTACAGTTTATTCTGTGAAGCGCTTTGAGACATCCAGAAGATGTGAAAAGCGCGATATCAATGCAAGGATTATTATTATTAATAATCCTTTCATTTGACATAGTACCTTATCAAATCTTCGAGACGTCTCAAAGCGCTTCATAGAATGTACTGCAAAGTGAGTGGACCGTATATTCTGTGGGCGAAACGCGGCAGCCAATTGCACACAGCAGTGTTCCACAAACAGTCGTGGATTGCGTGACCAAAGACAAAATGGTGTCACAACCAGGGCAAGAGCAGGTGAAATTTCAGGCTACGGTGGCCAGGCAGAGAGGCAAAAGGTTATTTACTTATTCATGAATAAGGGAATAAAAAAACAAATCCAGCAACTTCACTTACAGTACTGAAAAAGTTACAGACAGACAATCAACAAAAATTAGTTTCCTTTACTTGCTAAACTGGTAACCACCCAACCAGTTATGTCCATCGAAAAACGGTCCCAATAATTCTTCATAAATGGAATGCCTTGTTCTATCAGCACTTAACGAAGTGCTGCTGGTCGTAAGACTGACTATGATTCTATAATAAATAATCTTTGGATTTGGCATAGTGCCTTTCACATTAGGAGGAAGCGACAAAGCCCCTCACAGGATACATTGTAAATTAAGTGTAAATTTACCTTGTGGAAACAACTCAATTTTGAACAGTTCTATCAGGTCCACTTTTAACCAATTACTGGAGCTTTTCATGCCTGCAACTTTATTATAACCAGCACAATCTAAGATCATAGCTCCAAAAGAATCCATAGGTTTATCCTCATCAGATGTACTTTGACATTACTGTGCTACTGGATTGCCTCTAATAATAATCTTTGCAGTTGATGCAGCACCTTATCATGTTGTTTAAGACATCTCAAAGAGCTTCCCAGAATATAACTGTAAATATACTGAATATACTGACAGCCATGTCAGCCTCCACGGCTGCACTCTCAACCTCACTAAGACAGTCAGGAACCTGGGTATCTTGTTTGACCCTGAACTGTCTTTTCTCCCCCACATCCGTGCCATGACCGGCACTGCCTACCACCACCTCCGCAACATTGCCAGACTCCGCCACTGCCTCACCCCTCAGGCTGCCGAAACCCTCACCCATGCATTCGTCGCCTCAAGGTTTGATTACGGGAACTTCCTCCTCATCAGCCTTTTCATCCATGGCCTTGCCCCCTCCTACCTCTCTGACCTGCTGATTCCCTACTAACCTGCCCACTCCCTCCGTTCATCGGGCTCCGGCCTGCTCTATATCTCCTGCCCGACCCGTCCTACCATCGGTGGTCGGCCTTTCAACCTCTCTGCCCCCACACTCTGGAACTCCATCCCACGGTCCCTTTGCCTCACTTCCTCCCTTGCCTTCTTGAAAGCCAGTGTCAAGACCCTCCTCTTTGACCGTGCCTTTCGTCACCCTCCCACCTCTCTGCCTTCCCTCACCCCTACACCCCCCCTTCGCCATGCTCGGGCCTCGACATCTGACTGTTCAGTGCTTCGGAACGTCCTCCCGACGTGAAAGGCCTTCTACAAATGTAATTTTGTTGTTGTTATTGTGGAGTGACTGTATTTTGTGGGCAGATGGGACTTTGGTTTAACATCCGATCTGAAGGATGGTATCCCTGACAACGCAACACCCCCACAACTAGGGGCTTGAACCCACAACCTTCTGACTCAAAGGCTAAAGTGCGCCAGACCGACACACTGAATTGCTGATGGTTTTATGTTTGTGATTCTGTGTAAATCAAAGTTCAAGAGACAAAACAGAAGACATAGGGCACCACATGGTTGTATTTTAGCAGAATAGTTATTGTGGTACCAAATTAAAAAGTTGCAAATAATTGCATATCTTCCCTCAGCCTCAACTGTACTCATATTCAATTTTATCAGTTCTGGGTAACGTAACGTGTTAGCTGTTTCTCAAAATGAACAAGAACAACAACAAATTACATTTGGATAGCATACGTTTCGCTCACAAAATATACAGTCAATTCACTTGGGGCTGTGTGTGTGTGGGGGGCTGTTTGTGTGTATGTGTGTGGGGGGGGCTGTGTGTGTGTGGGGGGCTGTGTGTGTGTGTGGTGTGTGTGGTGGGGGCAGTGTGTGTGGGGGGGGGCTGTGTGTGTGTGGGGGGCTGTGTGTGTGGGGGGGCTGTGTGTGTGTGTGGGGGGGGGGGCTGTGTGTGTGGGGGCTGTGTGTGTGTGGGGGGGCTGTGTGTGTGGGGGGGGCTGTGTGTGTGTGGGGGGGCTGTGTGTGTGTGGGGGGCTGTGTGTGTGTGGGGGCTGTGTGTGTGTGGGGGGGCTGTGTGTGTGTGTGGGGGGGGCTGTGTGTGTGTGGGGGGGCTGTGGGGGCTGTGTGTGTGGGGGGGGCTGTGTGTGTGTGTGGGGGGGGGGGCTGTGTGTGTGTGGGGCTGTGTGTGTGTGGGGGGCTGTGTGTGGTGTGTGGGGGGGGGCTGTGTGTGTGTGTGTGGGGGGGCTGTGTGTGTGTGTGGGGGGGCTGTGTGTGTGTGTGTGGGGCTGTGTGTGTGTGGGGGGGGCTGTGTGTGTGTGTGTGTGGGGCTGTGTGTGTGTGTGTGGGGCTGTGTGTGTGTGTGTGTGTGTGGGCTGTGTGTGTGTGTGTGGGGGGGGCTGTGTGTGTGTGTGGGGGGGGGGCTGTGTGTGTGTGTGTGGGGGGGGGCTGTGTGTGTGGGGCTGTGTGTGTGTGGGGCTGTGTGTGTGTGGGGCTGTGTGTGGGGGGGGGGGGCTGTGTGTGTGTGGGGGCTGTGTGTGTGTGGGGCTGTGTGTGGGGGGGGGGCTGTGTGTGTGTGGGGCTGTGTGTGTGTGTGGTGGGGGGTGTGGGGGCTGTGTGTGTGAGGCTGTGTGTGTGTGTGTGTGGGGCTGTGTGTGTGTGGGGCTGTGTGTGTGTGTGTGGGGGGGGGCTGTGTGTGTGTGTGTGTGTGGGGCTGTGTGTGTGGGGCTGTGTGTGTGTGTGGGGCTGTGTGTGGGGGGGGGGGCTGTGTGTGTGTGTGTGGGGCTGTGTGTGGGGCTGCACGTGTGTGTGGGGCTGTGTGTGTGTGTGTGGGGCTGTGTGTGTGTGTGTGTGTGTGGGGCTGTGTGTGTGTGTGTGTGTGTGTGTGTGTGTGTGGGGCTGTGTGTGTGTGTGGGGCTGTGTGTGTGTGTGTGGGGCTGTGTGTGTGTGTGTGTGGGGCTGTGTGTGTGTGTGGGGCTGTGTGTGTGGTGTGTGTGTGGGGCTGTGTGTGTGTGTGTGGGGCTGTGTGTGTGTGTGGGGCTGTGTGTGTGTGTGTGTGTGTGGGGGGGGGGGGGGGGCTGTGTGTGTGTGTGTGTGGGGGCTGTGTGTGGGGTGTGGTGGGGGGGGGGGGGGGGGGGGGGGGGGTGAGTGTTGGGGGGAGCGGGTTGGCGGCTGTGAGCCGGGCCTCCTCAGTCCCTCCCTCCCTCCGGGGAAGTTTACCTGCAGCCGCACCGCCTCCTCTCCCGCCCCGCGGCTCAGCGCCTCGCTGACCCTCACCAGCGGCCTGGCCGTGGGGCCGCCGCTGCAGGACCTGATGAACCGGGTCACCCGAGCGCTGGGCCTCAGGCTCCGGCCACACAGACACAGCATCTCCCGCTGCCCCCCGCGCGCGGCAGCCCAGCGCGCATGCGGAGTGGCCAGGCGAGCCGCGCATGCGGAGTGGCCAGGCGAGCTGCGCATGCGGAGTGGCCAGGCGAGCCGCGCATGCGGAGTGGCCAGGCGAGCCGCGCATGCGCCCTTTCTGGGCCGCTTGGCCCTGGGAATTGCGCATGCGTACACGCATTTTCCCCAGGCAGGCATGTCTCTCCCCCCCCCCCTCACCCCCCAACCCCCCCATCCTTGCCCAGCAAGTGCAACCTCCTACTATGTTTAGTTTAATCATTATTATTTTTTTAAAAAAATCTGCGCAATTTGCTACCGCATTTGTTTCATCCAAATAATATATACTTTACAGTAATATTCTGTGAAGCGCTTTGAGACGGCTCAACAAAATGAGAAGGCGTTATATCAAATGCAAGGATTATTATTTTTATTGCTACCGTCTTGGGAAAGGAACCGTGCAAGTAGGGTGCAGAAGATTAAGAAAGCGTGCAATGAGAAAATGCCACTCAGTGTAATAATACAAATTTGTATTTGTGTTGTGCTTTTCACAACGTGAGGATATTGTGCCCATGAAGCTCATTCCCACCCTTGTTCCCGCAGAATCACTATCTGGATTTTCCTCACGATAATAACTCTTGCATTTATAGAATCAAAGAATATTACAGCACAGAAGAAGGCCATTTGGCCCATCGTGCTCTCTTTGGATGAGCTACTCAATCAGTCCCACTCAGCTCTTTCCCGACATCCTTGCAAATCTTTCCTTTTCAAGTACCTATCCAATTCCCTTTTAAAAATTGTTATTGAATCTGTTTCCACCACCCTTTCAGGCAGGTTATTCCAGACCGTAACAACTCTCTATGGAAACAAAATTCTCGTAATCTCCCCTCTGGTTCTTTGGCCAATTATCTTGAATCTATGTCCCCTTGGGGGAGGGTGTGTGTGCGGGTGTATGTGCGTGTGTGTGTGTGTGGGGGCGCATGTGTGTGGGCGTGCATTTGATATAGCAACTTATGACCTCGAGATGTCTCAAAGCAGGTCACAGTAAAGTGCAGTGAATGTGTGCCAATTTTGTGCACAGCAAGGTCCCAAAAGCCGCCATAGAATGACTGACCAATCTATTTGGTGGATTCTTGGCCAGAACACCAGTAGGAATTCCTTTCTCTTCTTGTACAGTGACATAGGATCTTTAAGTCCTGTAGCTCAGTGGTTAGAGCACTCGCTCACAAGCGAAAGACCTGGGTTCAATTCCCGGCAGGACGAAACCTTGGGCAAGTTTTCTTACTCCACACGCCTGATAATAATTCCTCAAGAAAATAAACAATAATAAATTGGTCACTTCAATCCATGACTGTTTGTGAGACACTGCTGTGTGCAACTGGCTGCTGCGTTTCGTCCACAAAAATACAGTCAATTCACTTTACAATATATTCTGTGAAGCGCTTTGAGATGTCTAGAAGTTGTGAAAAGCGTTATATCAAATGTAAGGATTATCAATATAACGTCTATCTGAAAGGGTAGATGGGACCTTGATTTAACATCTCATCTGAACATCTCCAACAACGGAGTGTCAGATTAGACTATGGGTTCAAAGACCTCATGTGGGTCTTGAAATTGTAGCTTTCTGAGTGCTACCAGCTGAGCTAGGCTGACACTTTAGGGTCAACTGGCTGGCATTTTAGAGAGATTGGGGGTACAAAGGAACTTTATTGCAATTCTCAAGTGTCCTGGAATCTTCAAAGCATACCTTTTGAAGATAATTTTTAATGAAAAACCCAGTATCTTAGATTTGAATAAATATAATATCTAAGAACTAGTTCAATTGTTCAGCAGCAGACAATATTGTTGGAATGATCAATGTAATATACTGGGAAAAAAAACTCCTGATTAGATTGTATAAAACACAGATTAATGAGCACCTTTAAGAATAAATAACTTAAATGATTGGAGTTTAAATTTGAAAACAGTTTAGAGGTATTTTGGGTGTTTGCTTTGATCAGTGAGATAAGGCCAGGCTGTCTGCCCATTGTCACCCACCCTGTTCACTTTATGGCTGTTTACCATGCACCAATTGGGTGCCACATTTGCCTAAAAAATACACTGTCACTACACTCTGCAATAAATCCTATGAATGAATCTTCAACAATTTGAAAGGTGCAATATTCAATGCCAGTATTATTATCTTCCATTCCCTTTTGATTTCAGTTCAGATACAATTAATGGAGTCTAACATGAGGCATTTCTAAACAGGATTTCTTAATAAAGAATCCCATTAAAATTTCCATTGACCTGCAGGAGTTCCACTCGGAAGAAGTTCAAATTGGAGCTGAGTTGAATGTAACATATTTCAGTTACCAGCAGAAGTTCTCATTTGAGTGGCTCGAATTACGGAAACCAGCAATTAAGACAGAATTTAAGGATATTCCAAAATTTTGCAAGATCTTAAACTTTAAAACAATTGCCTCAAGACTAAGACCATTAAAGAATTTTGGATTTCAGTCTCTTTACATTTACACCACCATTTCTC